AATTAGAGTCATACGGAGCCGGACATGACAATGCCGTCCCGTCTGACTCCGTCCGGTCCCATTCTGTCCCATCCGGTTCCTTTTGGTCCTGTCCCTTGCTGGCCAATTCCTTCCTTTCGCGTTAGGTAATTGTTGGTTCGTTGGGCTCCGTCCCCCCCCCCCCCCCCCTCCCCCGATCCCAGGTCTCGTACGATTCTATCCGATCTTACCAGGTATCCTCCAGTACCATTCAGCCCCGTGTGATCCCATTTGGTTCCATCCGGTTCCGTCTGACCTTCACATTACATCCTGTTCCGTCTGGTCCCGTTTTGCAGCGTCCAGCTCAGTTTGGTTTTGCGCGGTGCCGCCCGATTTATCCAATGCCGTCCGGTCGCACCCGGTTCCGCCCGATGTGGTCCGATCCTGTCCAGTTTTGTCTAGTTCTATGCAGTTATGTCCAGTCCTGTCCAGTCCCGTCCAGTCCTGTCCAGTCCCGTCCACTCCCGTCCGATCCCGTCCCCGACTGTGCGGTCACTTTTGGTTCAATCATGTCAATTTCGGTGTCACCTGGGTCAGTTTTGTTCCGTCCGATTCCGTCCAGTCCCGTCCGGTCGCATCCGGTCCCATTTCGTCCCCTCCGATTCCATCTCGTCCGTTCCGGTCCCATCTCATCCCTTCAGATCCCGTCCAGTTCGTTCGGCCACGTCTTGCTTTGTGACGTGCGATCACATTCCCTCCGGTTCCATGCGCTCCCATTCCGTCTCATTCCGTCCCAGCCCAGCCGGTTACTTTCGGTCACTGTAGGCCACCGGACCCTGTCTGGTTCGGTTAGGTCCCTTTTCTCTTCTCTCCGGTCCCGTTTGGTCCAGTTCCGTTCCATCCGGCTCCAGCCGATCACGTCCAGTGCCGTCTTACCCCGTCCAGTCCTTTTGAGTTTCGTCCGGTGCCGTTCGGTCCCATCTGGTCCCATCATATCTCGTGCGGTTCCGTTAGGCTCCGTCTGGTTTGGTCTGTTCACGTCCGGTTCCGTTTTGCCTCATGACGCTCCATCCGATGCCGTTCGGTCCGGCCCGGTTCCGCCCGGTTCTGTGTGGTTACGTTCTGTCCCGCCTGGTTCTGCGTAGTTCCGTTCTGTCCATGGGCAGATCCAAAGGGGGGCACGGGGCCATGCCCTCCCCTCGGGCCCCGAAGGGGCCCATTGGCTCCGAGGGGGCCCATAGCCGGTCGAACAGGGGGAGTTTTTTTAACACAAAACGCAACAAAACTGGGTATCTTGGGACTTCCAGGCGACCAAAAACAGTCGTAAGCGAAGGTGAAGGAGCTATAAGAAGCCCCAAAAATTATTCAATGATTGGAAAAGTTGTGAACTGGAAATTTCTAAGCCCCATTACAGTGTCTAGGGGCCCCACGCTGTTTCCGAGAGACGTATATGCCCACTTGCAGGATCATTTCGATCGTTCAGGAGCACTCCACGTTGTCTTCCATTCCTTTGCATTTGCTCGGAGGGCCCTGTGCTGATGTTGGGGCTCTTCCTGCTAGCGTGCCGGGGCACTCTTGTCAATCGCGGGCCCTTCAACGGATTCTTTCCATTCGCCAGAAAGGCTCAGTGAGCTATAGCCGGGGCCCCACATCTTAACCTGTTGGGGTATTCTTGACTGCTCAAGGCCCTTTACGTGGGTCTCGGTTAACCTATCGACACACTTGTGATATGCTCGTGGGCCCTCTACATTGGTCTTGGACGCTTCCAATTCACTGTCATTTGCTTAGGGCCCTACACTCTTGTCGGCGTCCCCATCTGATGGCCTGCTTGGACACACTCAGTCATTCGGCGACCATCTACACTGGGTCTTGGGTACTTTTTCTGAATGGAAGGCCCTTCGCCCTTGTGGGGGGGGGGCTATCTGATAACCTGCTCGGGCACATTCGATCGTTTTGGGGCCCTCTACATTGGGCCTTGGGCACATGCTATTTGAATGGGGCCCTACGCACTTGTCGTCCACGCACTACGCAGTTGCCCCCCCCCTATACGCCTCCTCGGCCATACTGGATTGCTCGGAGGACCCTACACTTTGAATTTAGGGCCCTCTGCTCCTATCGGGATCATCTGATAAACTGCTCGGATATACTCCATCTTTCCGGGGCCCTCCGCACCGGGTTTTGGGTACTTCTTATTTGAATGGAGGGTCTTACGCTCCTGTCGGGGCCCCTTCTGACAAGATGCTCGAGTCCATTTGATCATGGGGACCTCTACATGTAGTTTTGGGTACTTCCTTTTTGAATGGAGGGCCGTCCGCGCTTTTCAGGGTCTCTGTCCGTTAACCTGCTCTGGTGCACTCGATTATTCGGGGCGCTATATATCATGTCGTGGGTATTTCATATTTGAACGGAAGGCCCTACGCTCTTACCGGGGCCCCATCTGTTAACCTGCGCGGGCACACTCGAATATCCGGGGCCCTCCACATTTTGCCTTGGGTACTTCTTATCTGAATGGAGGGCCCTACGCACTTGTCGGAGGCCTATCTGTTTGCCTCCTCGGCTGCACTGGATTGTTCGGGGGCTCTGTATATTGGGTCTTGGTGTTTGAATTTAGGGCTGTACACTCCTGTCGGGGCCATCCGATAATCTGCTCGGGTACCCTCCATCTTCCGGGGTCCTCCGCACTAGGTTTTAGGTACTTCTTATTGGAGGGCCCTACGCTCTGGTCGGGCCCCTTCTGATAACCTGCTCGGGCACATTCCATCGTTCGAGGGACCATTTACATAGGGTCTTCGGTACTTCCCGTTTGAATGGAGGGCCTTACGGCTCTCTTTGGAAGCCCCTTCTGTTAACACGCCCTGGCACACCCGATCACTCGAGGGCTGTATACGTTGAATCTTGGGTGCTTCCTATTTAAATGGAGGGCCCTACGCCCTTGATGGGGACCCTATATTTGAACTGCTAGGGCACGCTTGATCGTTGGGAGCCCTACACATTTTGTCACACGTATTTCTTATTTAAATGGATGGCCCTATGTTCTTGGCGGGCCCCATCAATCAGCTGCTCAGGCCGGTGGCGGGTGCAAAGGGGGTGTGGAGGCATGGGGCAAAGGCTCCGAAGGGGCCAATAACCAGCCGAACAGGCGCAGTTTTCTTATAACAAAATTGGACGCCTTTGGACCTACAGACGACCAAGAACAATTGCTTGCAAAAGTAAAGAGCCCATGAGCAGACAAAGCTAATTCTTTCCTGATCGAAAATGGTGTTGCTTGGGGGAAAATTTTGAGGCTCATTACGTGGCCCAGACTCGTAACGCTGCTGCCCGGGCCCTATCGGTCCACTTGCCCGGTCAATCTGATCGCTGAGGAGCTTTCCACGTTGCCTTTGATGTCTTTGCATTTCCTCATAGGGCCCAACTCTGCTGTTGGGACGCTATCTCTTTTCATGTTTGGGCGCTCTTGATCAATCAACTTTTCCTTCGCGGATTTTTCCCATTCGCCCGAAAGGCTCTATACGCTTTTCCGGGGCCCCATATGCCAGGGTACGGTCAGTTCATCAGGGGCCCTTCCTATTAGTCTCCGGTTCTTTCTACTTACTTGGAGGGTCTTGTGTCGTTGCCGGGCCCTTATAAGGTAAGGCACCGAAACACTCGATGTTCAGGGGCCCTCTACTTTGATCGAAGGATATTTCCTTTTGATCTCATTTGCGGAGGACTCTTCACTCCTATCGAGGCTCTTTCTGCTAACGTGCTAGTACGCTCTTGATCGCACAGGGATATTAATTCATGGTCTTGGGTAATTCCCCTTTGCTAAGAGGGTCATGCGCTCTGGGTGGGGCAACATATGTCAGCTTGACAGAACACTACCGATCGTTTAGGGGCCCAACACGCTGGCCTTGGGTTCTTTTTGCTTGCTCCGAGGATCCTATACTCGTTGACGGGGGTCACTTTTTTACCTCCTGCGGCACCCCTGATCGCTCAGGTTTCGTTCCAATCGCCCCTGGTGCCTTTGCCTTAGAGCGGTAGTCGAATATGCGCCGATGCATTGGCATTTTCATTGGTTGCTGAGTGTGTGACACTTATCATGCTAGTGCATCACGTTCGTAACATACTTTGAAAGATAAGCTTTGCTGTGCTCCTTTATGATAAAGGAAAAATTGTGCATTAGTCATCAGCCATCAGCTGATAACATCGCCCAGCCGGCTAGCCGCAGATACATAAGCTAGGAATCAAGCCCATGCTTGGTTTTGATGGTTGTTAGCAGCCCACTCAAGTATATTCTACCTGTTGTTCCGAAACACTTAGCCTCAGAATCACAGCATTTAACATGATCTGTAGAAAATGATTGAGGTCTTTGTGTACACATGCGTAGCACGCCTAACTTTATAGGGCTGTGTACAGCAAGATGGGTTTACGTATTAAGAAAATAAACGGATAAGAAATATATATATATATATATATATATATATATATATATATATATATATATATATATACCTATACACCTATAACATATATACCATCTCCGCAACCACCACCGCACACCCACCCCCCCCACCACCACACCACCCACACCCACACCCACCCCCACACATATCTATATAATATATATATATATATATATTTTATATATATATATTATATATATATATATATAATATATAATATATATATATATATATATAGATATACGACAATTGTAACTAAATGTGTAAAACGGTAAAACCAGAGGATACTTTTTGGAGTGGCCGGCACAAAACTCCAGGGGACCCCACAATGTTGCGTGCCCCCCCCCCCCTTGACGAAATCCTGGATCCGCCCCTGGTTCTGGCCAGCCCAATATCTTTCGATCACCCGTATACAGCCTTGAGGTCACTGACTTTCTAAAGGCTGCACATGTGAAGCGAAACTTTCAGTGTCAACTTGGCCATAACAGGTCCAGACGTTCTTGTAAATACCACCAGATTGAAGCGGATTTTGTGGTGCTGTGACGTCATCGTAAAATCAGCTGGGAGTGTTGGTGACCTTCAGTACCATCACACAATAGGCCGACAGAAACACCACAACTTGCTCGTGGGGTGGTGCGATTTGGGAAGGTAGGGTGTGTATAAAAACGCTATTTATTGTCATTATAGAGAACAACAGCTAATTGAAGGAAACTGAGGTGTCCATGAACACAGGAGTACGTTTTGATACCAATATTGTGCGGTTTACCAGTTCAGTCAGGTCGTTAAGGCTGTATTCTGATGTGTGAGGCCTACGCTGGTGGAACCTGGTTGGTTATGGGTCTGTACCCATATGCAATTTATATGGAATGGTTTTCACATTGTGCATGGTAGCTTATATATATATATATATATATATATATATATATATATATATATATATATACTGTTACTGCTCACCAGATCTCCTTTCTCTGGTAGGCAGGCATTACTGGAAGATGACAGAGTGATATTTAAATTGCTTCAAGACTGACAACATGGACCGTCAGACCAGCGTCAGCTTTATCTGCCAACGATGCTCCATGCCTGTCAGGCTGGATGACACCCTGCTCAACATCAATGAACACACACTAGCAGAACTCTCCTGTATGTATTGGCAGTATTTTCTGCCATCTGCTGACCATAGCTTGTTTTGTCCGCAGGAACTTATTTTCAATATGAAATAGTCTTAGAACATGCTACCAGAATCAGTTTTTGCTTAGGCCAGTAACATGGGTTGTGCCACTGATGAATTAAGAAGTACCACATGCTGATATTCCTAGTTGGTTGTGACTTGAGCTTGGGCAGTGCTAACACATTTCATGTTCCTAAGTTCATATTTCATCACCACATCCCTTTTGGAGGACAGCATGTCATACTGCTTTGCTGGAGCAGAGTGAGAGATCATTACACACATGATGACATGTTATGTGAAATGTGTCAATCCTTTTAATCAGCAGGACCATAAAATATTATTGACCCATGAAAACTTGTCTGCTGTTACCATGTTTACTGGCCTACATGTGTCATTCTGGCCTAGTATGGCTAAAACCAAATCACCTATCAGCATGTTAAAACACAAAAGTACATATTTTGTGCAAGTGGGAGTAAAACACCTTGCTAACAGATTGCATAAATATTTTTCATGCAATTTGTCATGTTCAGTATGGGATCCTGGATGTGTGGTGGTTAAGTTGTATGCATGAGAAATCAGACATACATTCCCCACTTTTTTTGCCTGTGTAAGAGATAGTGATGCTTTATAGTCTCAGCAGATAAGCATGTTGTACAGCCAAAAGGCACACAGACCCTCACTCAGTATGGACTCATCATATAACAGGATAGCTGGAATCCTGCCACACATGAGCTGATGCCTTTCAGGGCATGACCATGCATGTCCTCAGTCCCCCCATGTAGGGGCACTGTCCACCCAATGACGTTGGCATGGCCGTCATAATGCCATCTACTGGGCCCACCCACTAACCCCAGTGTGGCCGTCAGAGTACCCATTTACCCGGCGCACCTGTTGACACCGGCGCGCCCGCATTGCCCATCTACCTGACCCACCCACTGACCTTGGCGCGGCTGTCACATTGCCCATCTACCCGATCCGCCCACTGACCCTGGCATGGCCATCACATTGTCCATCTACCCGACCCGCCCACTGACCCTGGCGTGGCCATCACATTGCCCATCTACCCGACCCGCCCACTGACCCTGGCGTGGCCATCACAATTGCCCATCTACCCGACCCACCCACTGACCCTGGCGCGGCCGTCACATTGCCCATCTACCCGACCCACCCACTGACCCTGGCGCGGCCGTCACATTGCCCATCTACCCGACCCGCCCACTGACCTTGGCGCGGCCGTCACATTGCCCATCTACCCGACCCGCCCACTGACCCTGGCGTGGCCATCACATTGCCCATCTACCCAACCCATCCATTGACACTGGCGCGGCCGTCGCAGTGCCCATCTACCCGGCCACGGAGGCCGACCTGGAATCGGTGGCCGCCTCATTCGACAAGTATGTGCCGCCGCCGCGCTGGGCGGAGAGCGGCCAGCCGTCATCCGGTACCGACTCCACCGGCTTCACGGTGCTCTCCGACCCGGGCGTCATGCCGGCCGGCCACCTATCACACAAGGTCAAGGTCAGTCACTTGCACAATGGTAGGTCACCTCGGTCATACATAGCCAAGGTCAGCAGGCCAGGTATATTCTTGCATGATCATCTTGTTATGCAAACTGATGAGTTGATGTCTCAAAATATGTAATGCACTAGGCATGTTAACATTTAGCAGGTTTGGTGTTGGGTTGAGCAGTACGTTTTTATCTTGCCTCTATCATCTAAGCCACAGTTTACCCTGTCTTTTATCTTTTTTGAATGAGTGGAATAAAATATAATGGCTGTCTGGTACAGTCCATCAAATTCTGACGCATCAACACATTCCTTTTTGTTGCTTATGCAGTATCCTGCTCAATTTTGAAAGCCCCTGCTACCCCCCCCCCCCCCCTCCCCGCTCCCACATACACACATGCGCCGATCCCATGTGTTGACACAACTGACCATAGTCTTGCCTGGCTGTCTTGCGAGCCTGCTCCGACCAGCGGGCTGTCGGCGGCAGCGCTGTCCAGCGCCGTCTCACGGCCGCCACCGCCGTCGCCGACAGATGGCCGCCAAGCTGTTCGACATGCTGTCCACCAGCACCGAGGTGGACCACCCGATGTGCGAGGAGTGCGCTGACCTGGTGACCGAGGGGCTGGAGCTGGAGCTGGCCGGCGTGCGCCAGGAGTCGGCGCTCTACCGCGACTTCGTGCAGCAGCTGCGCCGCGAGCCGCCGATCGACGCCGATGTCGACGCTTTGGATACAGAGCTCGAGCAGGTCCGACACTGAGCGCCAGGCAGGGGCCTGTGGATACGGAGCTCGAGCAGGTCCGACACTGAGCGCCAGGCAGAGGCCTTTGCGTACAGAGCTCGAGCAGGTCTGGCACTGTGCGCCAGGCAGGGGCCTTTAGGTACAGAGCTCGAGCAGGTGCGGCACAGGGAGCCAGCAGAGGCCTTTGAATACAGAGCTCTAGCTGGTGCGGCACTGAGCGCCAGGCAGGGGTCCGTGGGTACGGAACTCGAGCAGGTGCGGCACTGGGCGCCAGGCAGGGGCTTTGGATACAGAGCTCGAGCAGGTGTGACACTGAGCGCCAGGCAGGGGCCTTTGGATACAGGGTTCGAGCAGGTGCGGCACTGAGCGCCAGGCAGGGGCCTGTGCATACAGGGTTCGAGCAGGTGCGGCACTGAGCGCCAGGCAGGGGTCTTTGGATACAGGGTTCGAGCAGGTGCGGCACTGAGCGCCAGGCAGGGATCTGTGGATACGGAACTCGAGCAGGTGCGGCACTGAGCGCCAGGCAGGGGCCTTTGGATACAGGGTTCGAGCAGGTGTGGCACTGAACGGCAGGCAGGGGCTTGTCTTGTGGGGTGATTGTCTTGCTTTTTTATTCACCCATCACCCAAACTGTGCTGCCTAATTCAATGGATAATTTCGTTCGCGCCTTTTCGCCAAACACTATTACGGGGTGTTTTCCGTACCGCGCAGTGCTCCGACATGGCCGCCCCTACCCGTTTGTTGTGTTAAGTACCGTGTGGCGACCATGGAACATGTTTTATTATTTCTAAGATCTGTGGATATGAAGACGACTACGAAAAAAGAATAGAACACTCCATATTAAGTTTTCTTTTTTGGGGGGGGTAAAGTAATATTATATTGAAGTGGTCACATGATTTTTTTCTAAAACTCTCCGTATATTTACTGATGTAAAAGAGCTCAAGTTGAGACATGCTTCATGGTGATGAAGGCATGAGAGACACAATAAATATTTTAAATATAAACCTTTTCAAGAAAGGATGGTGCGAATTCCATGCCTTTTTCCCACGTCTAACTTAGGCGGCATATTTCATGCGTCTGACTGTCCCGTACGGCACTATCTGTGGGCAGCTGGCAGGCGAGGAGCAGCAGCTGCTGGAGGAGCTGCGGACACTGAAGCTGGAGGAGAGCCAGCTGCAAGAGCAGCTGCAACAGGAGGAGCAGGAGAAGGAGCGACTGGAGCAGGAGGAGGAGCGCTTCTGGAGAGAGTTCTGCAACTATCGAAAGCAGCTGATCGTAGCGGACGAGGACTACCGCAGGTGAGTTGGTGCGGGTCAGATCAGGCTTTAGACCAGAGGATCTGGAGTCTTGTTGCCTTATGCTGCGTAGCACCTAGCTCCGAAATCCTCGTGACCATCGTTTTTTGTTCATGTTGAAATGTTTGATATACATGATCATGGCAATTGAGTCATTTCATTTTCAAATTGGACCTGCAGAATTTCACTGTTCTGGGACTGATTCCCCCATTCTTCTTTCATGTAGGCCTCCCTCAAGCTGTTCTATGTGGTGCCTCAGGCTGTACTTGAGTACTTGGGTGATGATCAGAATAGCTGGGGATCGCGCCCCTCACCATGTGGTGCCTCAGGCTGGACTTGGGTACTTGCTTCTGGCTGAGTACCTGAGTGATGACCAGAATGGCCGATGATTGCATGCCCTCACTCCCACTAGCTGTGTTGGTATTATGCGAGCACAGCTCAAGCTCTTCAGCACTGATGACGCCTAGGTGACAACTAGTAGCTGCAGGGGCGCGAGCAGCCATTCACATATTGGCATGTGGATGGTAATGCACATGACAGTGCAGCAGGCTGGGCAATAATTGGCTGCCACATGAACAGTTGTACGGAAATCAAGAAAACGTTTGGCTTCTTCATTTTGCATAGCTCAATGGAAGTTGGGCACTGACCAGACTTCCTGTAGGTGTCTCATCTCTTGCATCGTACTAAATTGTTTCAGATTAGTTCATCCTGTTGTCATTTGCAGATCCCGACTTTGAGTGTTGATTAGGCTCTTGATAGCCTGTGACATTTCTGTCATACTTCCATTAATTTAACTCACGTCATCTGTCTGCCCTTTGGCACAGCCTTTCCAGTCGATTGGACTACACCACAAGCCAACTTGAGAAACTAAAGAAGACCAATGTCTTCAACGCCACCTTCCACATCTGGCACAGTGGCCACTTTGGCACCATCAACAATTTCCGGTAAGTCAGTCTTTGTATGTCATATGCTTACACTTGAGGAGTGTGCGAATGTCAGTGATGTGTTGACGCGCTCCCTGTCGCCTGCTGGCTGCGGGGCCTCAGCTGCGGCCGGACGGGCGGCGTTGGACGTGCGTGAAGGGAGCCTCGAACAGTACCGTGGCCTGATGCGATTTTGTTCTTCCCATGCCATGGTGATGAGCCTGGGTGCTGGTCAAGCTTTCCTATAGTCATCCTCATCAGATGACCAGCTGACCGAGTTTTCGTTTTACTCTAACCTTGTGCGATAATCACTCATCATTGATGAAGTCTCTACATAGCGAGATTGTCTTTCATTTGTGATCTTGTCTTACGTTATTTGCTTCATTTGGAGTGAGGGGAGCCGTTGTGAGCCAGGGTTGCCATTTTCAGTTGCCGAAGTTTTTCTCTTCACGTCGAAGTTAGATAAGCTACAAGGCTTCAACAATACAATGCATGCGGGTTAGCACGTTGTCGAGGCTGATAATGCTGGGATTTTGTCGGCGCCAAGAAATGACAGTTTGAATGATATTCTGTGTTGAAGCGTTAAGCTGGTGCCACTGACGGTGTCGGAGGAGCCTGCCGACACCGGTTCCCACGCAAGGGCTCCAGTCACCAGTACGGCGCTGACACCAGTAACACAGCACATGCCGTATAAGTCCAGCCACTGTCGCGTGACCTCGCCGACGGGCGCCGCACACTGCGTGTGACCGATCGGCCGCCGCGGCCCCAGGCTGGGACGTCTGCCGAGCGTGCCCGTGGACTGGTGGGAGATCAACGCCGCCTGGGGCCAGACGGCTCTGCTGCTCACCGCCCTGGCCAGGAAGATCGGTCTGCAGTTCTCCAAGTACAAGATCGTGCCGTTCGGCAACCACTCGTACATCCAGGTGAGGCGCGTACGGCCGTGTTGTGCGCCGGCTGCGGCCGCCTGTGGGCTCTTGAAGGGGGCGGCCCGACACTGGAGCAGAGTTGGGGAGAAAAAATGGAGTCTAGGTGTTTTGCTGAGCCAGTCATGCCGTGTGGCAGTTGACGTTGCAGTCGGAGTGGTTTGATGTGACATCGGTGGCTTTCAACGGCTTACACCATCTGCCGTAGACTAGGTGGTGTGTTGTGAAAATCTTGTGAAGTCTCGGCTGTATAAGTCCGCCGTATTGCGTGGTTTTTGATGACACAAACTGCTTATGGTGTCACATTCTGAGAAAAAATTCAGTAGCTCCAAAACACGCCTATGTGCCTTCGCTTACTCCGACGCCGGCGGAGGTGAGGAGGGGCGGAGGTTACAACCTCTTCCAGAGCTCACCTCGACGCTGTGTGATACCGCAGCCAGTGTGCTCTAGAACGGAGGACTTGAACACTCAGCACCGTTGCTCTGACTATCGTCTGACGTGTCGTCTCTGACGGACGTCTCGAGGCGTGACAGCGAGGCCCAGCGCTGCCCGTAAGGTCCCATCTGGTAGCCCTCCCTGGTGTTTCGTGAGACACCAGGGAGGGCAGGGAAAGAGGGTGAGACACCCCATCCTGGTACTCGTGGACGCCTGTCTTGGCCACGGCGCTCCCCGTGACTGACCTCGGCCACGGCAGGTTCTGTCTGACGGTCGGGAACTACCGCTCTACGGCGCCGGCGGCTTCAAGTTCATATGGAACCCAAAGTTCGACGCCGCCATGGTTGCCTTCCTCGAGTGTCTTCAGGAGCTGCAGGTAAATATGCGCAGTGCAATACCATATGCGTCATTTGCTACTCCCATGCATTTCCGACGTCTGTTGCTCGGTGTTTCACTGGGCCCAGCACGGCAATGGGTGCAAATCTCAGCCCCAAAGATATGACTGTTTTAGCGCATTAGTAATATTCTATACATAACCTTAATTGTGTGTTCATTATGTTTGTAGCAGTGGTCATAAGCGTCGGTTTCGGTAAATTTGTCGTGCCTGTGTAAGCGAGTGGTTCCTGTTAGTTTAGAATTATGTTGCATGCCCATCGATCAAAATGGTGTGAGGTTAGGTGCGTGCATCCGACCCCTGCATAACTTGCTAATTGATCTCATTGTTCTGCTGGCTCGAAGTGTCCACACATCCTGGGTAAGCCATTGCTCATGTTTTGGTGATGGATGGGCGCGGTGGAAGCCGTGCCACCCTGTCCGTCTCCTTCCACAGGAGAAGATCGAGTCCGGCGATGCGAAGTTCCGACTGCCGTACAAGGTTTCCAAGGGGAAAATCGAGGACCCGCAGGCGGGCACCGCTTACTCTGTCAAGTAAGGACGGAGATGGATCGCAGTCTCAGGGAATCGACACGTCGTGCTCTTTCGTCGTCATGTAGCCTGGTCATTCAGGCTGGTCAACGCACTGTCATGGATGTGCGATTCGACTCTTATGCTCTTCGGATGCCGTATGTGTGCGTAAGGTCACGCGACATATGCTTGGTCACCATAGCCTGAACTATCTCTGGACGCAGTTAGCGTTGAGAACGCTGCTGGTCTCTCCCCACAACAGTTGCTGTAGTTGCTCTGTGGGCGGCAACATTCCCACTTCCCGAACCCCGGGCAATGTCCCGACATCTCCTGACCGCGTCTGGTATCCCCTGACCGCGTCTGACATCCCCTGACCGCGTCTGACATCCCCTGACCGCGTCTGACATCCCCTGACCGCGTCTGACATCCTCTGCGTCTGACATCTCCTGACCGCGCCTGACATCTCCTGACAGCGTCTGACATCCCCTGATCGCGTCTGACATCCCCTGACCGCGTCTGACATCCTCTGACTGCGTCTGACATCTCCTGACGGCGTCTGACATGCCCTGACTGTTTCTAACATGCCCTGGCCGCTTCTAACATCGACTGACCGCCTCTGACATCCCTGACCGCGTCTGACCGCTCCCGACCACTTCTGACATCTCCTGGCCACTTCTCACATCCCCTGACTGCGTCTGACATCCTTTGCCCGTGCCCGACATCCTCCGGCCGCGTTTGACACCCCCTGACCGCGTCTGACATCCCTGACCGCGTCTGAAATCCCTGACCGCGTCTGACATCCCCGACCGCGTCTGCGCCGTCAGGATTCAGCTGAACTCGGAGGAGCACTGGACCAAGGCGCTCAAGTACATGCTGACCAACCTGAAGTGGGGTATCGCGTGGGTGTGCGCCGACACGACGCTGGGTGATCTGGCGCCGTCGGTTGTCATGGACCCGACCGGCTAGACGTGCCCCCCCCCTCCCCCCCCCCCCCCCCCGTCGTGGGCGGTCGAGGCCTGGCGCGGTCTCTGCGGCGCGATCGCAGGGCCGTGCGGACGGCGTGGGCGGTGACGAGCTCGGGCTCACGGACGGTCGTGACCGCGACGGGCGGAGTCGTGACGGCTGCGGCGGGCGGCCGGCGGCGCTCGTGAGGCGGCCGGCCCCGCAGCGCCCTGACGTGGTGGGTCAGCGGCGGATGCAGCAGCGGGCACCGCTTGTCCGCCGAGCTGACGAGGGCCCAGCGCCCCCCCCCCCCCCCCCCTCCCCCCGCGAGCGCTGTGAGACACGGATAGGGGCGATACGTGAGCCGGCAGCCGCCGAAACGGCGGAAGCAGGGCGGGAGTCCGTCTCGCGCATTCATTTGACGACGGTGTGGTCCGGATGTCAGTGGTCTGATTTCGTGCTTCATGCTCTGCTGCTTTGTTTAGTGTTTAATGTACAGTTGTTGAATATGTACGGTATGTGCATATTTTGCCCATACATTGTCTCCAATGTGATTTGGGTATGTTGGTATGTATGACATGGGTATGTATTTCTCCAATGGGTACGGTATGTGCATATTTTGCCCATACATTGTCTCCAATGTGATGAAAGAGCTCATCGCATTATACGCAATACATGCTGATGACTTGGTCGGACATTTGAGTGTATTCGGTCATAGAAAGTCTTCTATAGCGCCATGTGCTGCAGTTTGATCGACCGTACTTCGACTTTGTGTAAGCTTGCACGGCTCCTGGATTTAGCGACGGAAGGTGCCGCTGCTAGCGTTGCGGTGGGGAGGAGACATGGGATGCTGTCAGGCGGCATCGGACCTGATCATCCCCACTACCAACAGTCCGTTGTGCGTCAATTCAGGGCGAAAGGCGTCCGTAGACCATCAGTGCGGCGGTGCAATGGAATTGTGCTTCCCACCCTCCGCCCATGCAATTCAGACCTAGCTGCCCACCCTCCCAACTTGGAGAAGCGATCGGGTGAAGTCTTGGGAGAAACTAGCGTGCTGGCGTGTTTAAGACATAGTTCTCATCATGAATTGTCCTCTGCTCCGTCCCTCCCCCACGACTCATGTTTGCGAAACTACGCCCCTGCTCATGATAATATCAAGTCCATCGGGGCATAGAGGACTCCAAGCCCTGAACAGAACTTTTTAGATAAGTGTATCGTTTCGTAAGTCATGGTATTCCGGCCCTTTTCTGAAATTTCGGCATACGGCAGTGAATGAGAGATGGGAGAAGAAGCTGATCAGTAAAGAGCATCAATCGAATTTTTAACTGTCAGCAGCCAACTACGATGAAAAATGAAAAATGCCGACGGAAGTCGTTGAAGCACACTTTATTGATTTCTGTCTCACGTACTGTTGTAGGGCCTCCACCTCACTTGCACTTTTTCGATTCTTTCTAAGTAAGACCTCGTCCTTTCCAAAGCATTATGCAAGGTAAAATCGCCCAGCGTCTGATGTGAGTCTACGCACAGTCCGGGGTCTGTATGTACTCCTTGATAAAAACTGTACTTATGGATAGAACCATCAAATTTCTCCGTGGCTTATTGCATGTCACTGGTATGTTAATATTCTATGTTATTGTTGATGTTGTGCATGCTAAGCTAATAAGTAAATCCTATGGCCTTGAGTAAATCCAAAGAGTATTAAAAATTAATACGTTTGAAACAGACATGGCGCATATGACACATTTGTGGTGTTTCTGGCACTCATGATGTTTGTAGCTTACAATTCTCGTAAAATGTGATCTACAGTTGATGCCGCGTTTTCGTCGCGGCTGTTCCATATAAGTCAAAGTGGCTTTCTGCGACCTCCCATAGCTTGATCCAGACTGGCTTATGTATGGATCCCATTTGGTGGTGCCTTGTAGTGTTGCGATGTAAGGGGAAAAAAGCTTCAATTGGTATTAGTTCGTGAGCGCGAAGTAAATCAGCAAGGTAAGTTGTGTGCGGTGGCGCTTGCTTGGTTGAATATAGGATAAGTAGGCAAAGTGAGTTCAAAGCGATATTCATAGGGAGTTTTTTCTCTGTTTTCATGAAGCAGAAAAGGCTCATGCCCACAGGAAACCACAAACATTTGTGTGCTCCTTTTACTTTTCTTCATGTAAACATGAAGATTGGAACAAAACTGATTCATAATTTATGGTGGTGTCCACATGAACTTGATGCTGTGAGGCATTTGCCAAATCGGTCAAATTATTGTGTAGCTACCTGATAACATGGCCTCATCAGTCACAGGACCTTCATCCCTGATGTGGGTGCTGTTTTGAGCAGTTTTTGCAGAGCATTGTTGTATGTGCACACTAGGCACCATCCAGATTAATAACTGTGTAAGCCAGGTGCATAAGGCTATCCCCCAAACAAATTGGGAGGGCTTATAAGCCTAGTGTAACAACCATCCTCCATTTAGAAAGAAATTTACCCAGCCTTCCATTGAAAAGGAAAGCACATATGTAGCCACCCTTTGTTTTGGAGACTATACACATGGTGTAGATTGAGTCAAATGCACAAGGACAATGATCAAATTTTGGATGGCATTCATGGCACTGTATTGTGTATGCAGGTTGATTGGTTTGAAACTTCTGTGGGATTTGACATCCATAAAATTAGCATTCACTTAGTATTCTGAGTCATTAGATAAATAACATTTTATATTGCAGATATCATATAGCTGTCCAGTCCTCACTGTGATGTGTTGCTTGTTGGCATGTTTAGTGTGCTCTGGTTTTATCACTTCAGTTGCTGTGTAGCTGGTGATCCTTAGGGCTACATTCAACACGCAACCAGATGACTGGCCAGATAACCTTTGCTTGAGTAGGTGGGGGTCGGTGCAACCCACTATAGACCCCAGAACTTATTGAGCTGGAGATACCAAATTCACAGGGTGTGTTTGCCTGCATGTGAACTCACTTGGGTCAAATTTTGAGGTTCTTAGGTCATTACCTTGAGGTTGAACGACGTAAAAATATCAAATTCTAGGTAAGTGTCCAGTATGCCCTCAGAACCTAGATTCCTGTTCTAAGCAAGAGGGCTCATGCTCATTTAAGGTCAGTGGCCTTGTTTCACCTTTCAGAGATCATGTTGACCAAAATCATACAAGACTGCTGTGAGTTTTTCATTTGAACAGGAGACAAAGATTATGCTAGGCAATATGCTCCTAAAACAGGATATTGACCTGAGCCATTTGAGGTCACTGACCTATTCTGACCATTAAAAAGTCCTTGGAAGATGTCTGATGTGACTCCTGTTGTCAATAACTTTGAAATGAGCACCAAAAACTGCCCCATACAGCAAGCATTAGAGCATTACAATGGGTTGGCCTTGACCTTGGCCTGACCTCTATACCTGAACCTAGATCAATGGAATTTGGCCATTCAGTTGTTGTGTTGCCTAAGAAAGTATCTCAGAGATGTATGGGTCCACCTAATGGTCTGTTGTTCCACCAGATTGAATGATTCCCTAGAAATGGACTTTGTTGAATCCATGGCCTGATTTTGGCCCACCATAGGTCAGTGACCTTGCAAGGTAAATCTCATTTTCTGGTACCACATGATCCGCTATTCAATTGTCTGCAGTTCTGCAAAACTTAGCGTGGCTACGCCGCGCCGTTCGGGAACCATTCCGGAAAAACCTTCGGGAGATCAGATTGCCCCCCCCCCCCCCCCCCCACCCGAGCACGTGTTAAAACCTGGCACCAGGAGAAGTGTTGACAACATAATTTGTATGTAGGGGATGAAGATTTTGATACATTATAGTGAAACTGAAAAGTTATCTGCGGTTAAAAGCTTGCTGTGTATGTCAGTGATATGACCAGCAATGTTTTACAAGAGATAGGGGCATACCTGATCAAAATGAGCTGACTACCAGGAAATATAGCTAAACCTGTCCTCACAATGCTCAAAAACAGGATTTTCCCTCACTTTGGCCCAATTATTCTAAAGCTGTTGGAGAGGGACTCACTGAAGTTATACCTCCTGGCTGGAGAGAATGAGTCAAAATGGCTTATGGATCATTGTGCATCAGGAGAAAGATCAATTGCATTCTGTGTCATGCACCATGATTTATAAATGGCTTACAAATTTTATTTTCATTAAAGTTTCACATTCATGCATTACCAAAAGCAAAAGCTTAACCTGCAATACATTTCCAGCTATCTGACAGGTTACCTGTCAGATAGCTGTCACATACCTGTCACATACCTGATACCTGTCACAGGTATATCATGCATTAAATCATTATTTAACCATCTTGATTAAAATAAAATGTAAGACAGCTTAGAAAGTAAAACAAGAAACTCATTCTACTTTCGAAATGTGCCTCTACAATTAATGTCTGCGCCAAGTTCATTTTATGCATAGTTGCAGGGCTTCTCTGTCTTTAGAGGAGGCTGATCCCATATCTGCCTCAGCTACCTCCCAAGTTAACCCTCACCCTCATGGGGGTTGATAGGGGGAGGTCTGACTCCTCTCTGACGACGCTCAAAAAACGTGTCCAGCATTTCCGGTCGCGGGGTTAGGGGCGGCGTGGACGGCGACCGACGAGTCACTGGAACGTGCGCGCGTGCCAACACGGTTATTAACGAAGCGTTACATCATAAACATATGCTCAGAACACAAGACTACGTGCTATAGTACTCAATTATAAAGAATAACATGCCTGTTCCATTTGCATGTTGCTACGTGACATGGTTCCGTGCGCATCAGCGTGTAAGGCTTAAAATAGTTTGATTTTCAGGAGAATCTGGCCTTCGACGTGGACTGGCAGGGCGAATCATGGACGTAGCAACAAGCAACGTGTTAATCGCGATATCTCGTTGAGAATAATCCACTAGCGTTTGCCTCGTGGCTGCATCGTTCTTGGTTTGGAAGTAGCCGGAGATGAGGTTGCATTGACCCCCGCCAAATGCAGGCCGCGTTATGAAGAACGGCGGGGCAGGTTGAGAGTTAAGACTCAAAGTACCCGAAAAACGGTTTTCACGAAAGTGCATTCAAAAGTGAGATTGTTGCGATGTTGATGCATGGCATGGTAAACAGGTGTAAACCATGTGGCTTTCCACCACTGGTTGAAAGCCAGTTAATGAGGAATTGCTTGATATACTCCCTTTTCTATAGCCGATCTGTTTGATTCGGGCACCCTGAGAAAAGGCGCCAAGAAAATGCGAAGATGAGCCGGACCTGTGGTAGATGTTAAGTTGTTTCATTAAGTATAGTCACCTCCTTCTCATCAATGATTTCGATGCCGATGTATCAAAACACGATACATTATTCGTAAAATATCAAGCCACCGCCATTCAGCTGCTCTGCAGGACTCCAAGGTTGTCGGTGTGCATTAGCTACATGGTCCAGCTCGCTGGTTGCGCAGGCTATTTTGCGGCGTTTGACTGGTGTTCAGAGTAACATCCCCCGCCTCTGAGACGTCTGTCTGTCTTCACCCGTCCCTGGCCGAGGTATCTGTACAGCCGGACTCGTCCACACGCGTGGGCCCGGCTGACGTGTGCCGCGCTGGGTCCGGTGTGTCAGCTGCCCCCCCCCCCCCCCCCCGCCGCGTTGTTGTGGCCGCGTTCGATCTGTCGTCGGCACGTTTGTCAGCCGGAACGCGTGACGTCATGCGTACTGACAGAGCGCTCGATGTGTGAGCTGGGGGCAA